CGGTTGGTATCCATCATCGGCGCCTTTATCTGGATCAAACTGTCAAAAAAGTGCGGAAACAGAACTTCACGTCGCTGATAGCAGACGGTCGTCTTTGGGAAACTTTTCTTGTAGCCGAACAATCAAAGCCGAGGAAGTGTTTGCAGCTTCCAACCAGGCCGGACCTGCTGATTGTAGGAAGTTCTGCAGCTTTGTTGGGTTCTGATGAGTCTGGAGACAGAGTTGGTTCAGAGTTTTGGACCCAAGACTAAAATATTTCGGTTGAATTTTGAGAACTCTGTGTCTTCAGACCAAAGTTTTACCAGCGGAGCCTCTTTAATGGTTCAGTATCTGCAGGAGTAGAACTCTGACCTCCATGAAAGTCTAAAACTTTTCCAGTTCTGGACCTTTGAGCTGTGACTGTCCACATCATGGCTGCACATGGAAACAACTGAACAGAGGAAATCTGATACACAAAGATGGTAAAAGATGGAGGACAACCAACTAAAACCCAGTGAAGCCCAGTGGCAGCAGAAACCAGGAGGTCAAGAAGGAGCTCTGATCAGGGCTGCAGTGGTCGAGGCCAGTTTTAGAGTTCGATGTCTCCAGAAATAAAACTCCAACAGTCATGAAACTGGGTGAGAACACACAAAAAATAGTTTCCAGCAGATTTAAATGATTAAATGCCTCCAGCAGAGGACAGAGTTTGGAATTATTGGACTTTGAAAATGGAAAAAAAAGTGCAAAATGTTCCAACAAAGGTGGTTTTGTGTCCCTGGAAAGCTTCTGTCAGTGGATCCATGTTTCTATTAAAACACAGTCTCTGGTCGACATTCCACCAACGTTTGAGGCTCTAACATCAGCAGAACCTGATGGGTGGTTAATAAGACAAGACCAGGTTCCATTTCTTTGGATATTACAGCCTGTCAGGACTGCTAAGTCTCTTCCATTGATTGGTTTTGTTGCTTTCAGTGCAGCATCGATCTCCGTTTCCAACTCGTCACGATGCGCTTTATTAAACACCAGATTTATTCTGATGAATTATCGTCAGTTTCTCGGTTCAGTGCAGCTATCTGTCTGGGAACGTTCATTAAAACCGGCCTCACATGTGGTTGAACGTCAGCATGAAGACGACGTGGAAGCAGCTTGTGACTCTGCACATATAATAACAACATCTAGACGACTTTGAACACCAGTTTCTGTTTCCTACCGATGATCCACGTCAACGTTTGGTCTAAATGTCAAAAAACTGGAGCCAAACTTTCACCACATCAGGTTCTACTGATGATGGAGCCTCAACAGTTGGTGAAATGTTGATCAAAGACTGTATTTTAGTAGAAAATATGGGTCCATCCATATATAGACACTTAGAGGAACTTTCTGGGGTCACTTTGGACAAGTTCTTGTTATGTTGGACACCTGTTTGCCAATGGAGGCCTGTTGTAAGTCACACTGGACAAGTTTTTTATATTTTCTGACAAGTTCTTGTTATTTTGGAGAAATTTTGAGTCATTTTGGGAATTTTTTTTGTCATTTTTAGCACGTTTCAGTCATTCTAGACAGGTTTTGACCCATTTGGGGGCATATATCTGTCACTATGGACATGAGTCTAGTTGTTTTGGATAAATTCTGTCAGTTTGGACACATTTTAAGCCATTTTATACACTTTTTGATTCATTTTGTACCACATTTTAATTATTTTGGGTGTTTGTTTTGTCATTTTGTACAAGTATTAATTCACTTTGAGAACATTTATATCATTGTGGACGAGTTTTGAGCCATTTTGCACAACTTCTGAAACATTTTGGACACATTTTGTCTAACTTTGGACTAATTTCGAGTCATTCTGGAGTCAAAATATCAAAAAACTGGAACCTCGTCAGACTTTCCACACATCAGATTCTACTGATGTTGGAGCCTCAACAGTTGGTGAGATGTCAACAAAAGACTGTATTTTTAGGAGGAAACATGGCTGCATCCACACATAGACACTTAGGAATTTTCTGGGGACACAAAACCGTCCTTGATTGAATATCTTGCAGTTTTTTCCCCCATTTTTCCATTTTCAAGGACCTATAATTAGTCATTTTTGTGTTTTTTCTTTGAATTTGTAAGTAATTTTAGACAAGTTTGCATTATTTTGGAAACATGTTGAGTAATTCTGGGCAGGTTTCAAGTCAAACTGGAAGAAAATGGTCAAACATCATATTGAACGGATGTTAGAGCCTCAGAAGGGCAACGCTGGAACCATTTTTGTTTAAGCTATTCCAATAATTCCAAACTCTGCCTTCTGCTGGAGACATTTAATCATTTAAATCTGCTTGAAACCATTTAGTCTCTGTTCTCACCAAATTTCACAGCTGTTAGAGTTTTGTTTCTGGAGATGTTGAACCTTTAAAATGACTTCTGTCTTCTAAAGCGACCACTGCAGCCCTGATTAGTGGCTCTATGGCTCCGTCTAGACCTCCTGACTACTGAAGACACTGTGTTCACTGATTACTAGTTGATCTTCTTGGGCCTTTTTCCATCTTTGTGAAGTCTTACAACGTCATCTTTCAGTTCCTCTGTGAACTCTTCTCCATGTGGAGTCTTGATGTAGACACAGAACTGAAAAGGTTCTGCTGTTCGCGGCTCATTTTGAAACCATGTTCCTGCTGTTAGACTGACTGGGGGTCACGGTTTAGTTTCATTTTAGTTGTGTGTCTGCTGGAAACCTCTCTGTCTGCGTCCTCACCAAGTTTCATGGAGATACTGAAGCTTTAAAATGGCTTCCAAGAGTTTTTTTGAGGGTGAAAATACGAAAATTCTCAAATTCTACTGATGTTTGAGCCTCAACAGTTGGTGAAATGTCGACCAAAGACCTTATGTTTGGTAGGAAACATGAATATGTCCATATATACACTTATAAGAACTTTCTGGGGATCAATAGCAGCCTCATGGGCCTCAAAAGTTGGCAAGAATGTTATTATGAAGGTGAGTTCAGATGGTTAAAGGCAATGAGTCAGCGTCGGCTTATGTGACAGAAATGTGCATCTCTGTTGGATTCCTGACGATCAGATGAATAAAACCGGTTAGAAAGCCAACATTGCCGTGTTTACTGTGAGTTTTCATCATTTCTGACCTCCTGAAGCTCCTCTACGCGCAGAGGAAACCCGTCTCCGGCACGACTCATGCACTCGTCTTGATAATCCACCTCGGAATCTGATTTATTCTCCATCACGGCCGATGCAGCTGCAGAGCGCCGAGCTGGGGGGAACTCGTCGAGGCGACGTGACGAGCGGCGAGAGGATGGAGTTAAGGACCGACTTCAGAGAGCCTGACAGCGCCAGCAGACACGCCAGGGTTTTAAAAGCGGCGGTGACAATGCGGCGAGCGACGTAGCGTCACCGGCTTAGGCAGAACAAAAGAGCCGGCGCTCGGCTGACAGCTTGTTTTATTGCAGCCAACGCGCTCCGAGTGAGCGGAACCGCAAAACCCGGGTTTGATGTTGCGCGAACTCCCTGCTTTTAAAATCAACAGGCCTCCCTCTTGTCACCGCGAGAAACGAGAGAGTTTTAAGAGGCTGGCGAAGATCGAGCAACTTATTAGTGACGCCTGCGACGAGTCGGAGGAGAGAAAAGGCCCGTTCTGGGTGTTCTGCATTTCACGAATACCAGACGAGGCTCGGCAGCCACCGGAGCTCCATTAGAGGCGTCTGCACCCTGTGAATGAACGCTAATGAAATCAGCCCACATGTGTTGTCTGGAGGCATCTAAAGAGCCAGAAATAGTAAATAGAAAAAGATCAAGAAGAGCTAAATCCATCGCAAATCACGTTAGTCAGAATACCGGGGCGTCTCAACGTCTATAAATGCAGATATCTGGAAATTCTCCTCTTCAGAGTCGGAAAGAACGTCTCAGATCTCCTCATTTTGACTGTTTTCTGTTACTTCAGCTGTTCTGCATCGTCCTTCTGGATGGTTTCGATAAAGCCGATTGAGTTTTTTTTCGATCTAAGTAATCAAATATTTAGCATCGACTGTTACTGAGATCCAATCTGACTCCACGTTCAAAGAAAATAGTGACTTAAAGCACGTTAAAGTTATTAAAATCGATCCAGTGCATATATTCAACAGCTGAATACGATGCATTCATGAAATTATAAAATAAATCTGGTATATTCTGTGAAAACAAGATTTTTTATTTAAATTTCCTGCTATTTTTACTTCATTCTATATATTTTTTGTAATATTCTGTTGTTCACTTATTTGATCCAAATGTAACAGATTTTTTAAACCACATTTCGAAGAGAAGAAAATGCAATTTAACAGGTTTCATGTGAGATGAGTTGAACAGCAGGTGAAGCTAATTCTCTTAATTGCTGTGAATCACGACCAGGAGCTGTGCAGGTTGTACCTGGTTGTTCCAGAGAACGTCATGAGGAGTTTAACTGGTAAAGAGACGCCATGACGAAGACTGTTTTTTGTCATTTGGGACAATTTTTAAGTCAGTTTGGTCGAGTATGGACTCGTTTGGGGTTTCTGTTGGTCACTGGTTGATCATTTCAGACAAATGTTGAGTAATTTCTGACCAATTTGGAGTCATTTCAACAATTTACAGCATTTAGGACAAATTTTGAGTCCTTTAAAACTAATTTTTAAGTTTTTTGGAGTCATTTTGAACGACTATTGAGTCATTTTGGATTAGTTTGGTCTCTCTAAACACATTTCAAGTCATTTTTAGACACATTTTCACATCTTTGTTCATTTGGTTGTATTTTGACACCAGAACTTGATCATTTTGGTCATTCAGAACAACAAAGACGTCACTCTGGGATTTAGGAAACTGTGATGGATGATTCTCATTGATTCTGAAAATAATCGTAAGCTGCAGCTCTAATTTTGTGCAATTACTTCCCAATAAACCAAATATCTCCAATAAAAATGATGGACGTCTCCTAAACGAACCAGAGAACCATCCACTCAGAATAAAGAAGTTCTGGATTGGTGACGGTGCTTTGAAGAACCAGAGAGCCGTCTGGAGGACCGTTGAAGAACCTTTATTTTAGCGTGTAGCTCACGTTATCATTAGATGAGGCTGGAGTCGGGTCATACCCACCACATAGAAACACAACAGAGTCATTTCAACACAGTTTGAAAAAAACACGATGTACAAACACAATCTGTTCATAAAACGTGGACGTAGCCTGCACTCCTTCTACCCGCCAGCAGGGGGCGACTCCTCTGGTTGCAAAAACACGTCTGACTGTGTAAATTCTCACTTAATCTGTTACAGTTTGTAAACATTTTCCTCCTGGATTTATAGTCTTAACCTCTAGTTTTAGGCCTTTGAAATACAGCATGATGTTTATTTTGCAAACTTTGATCCCATTTAGTGGAAAATAGACGACAAAGGACGGTGTGATGCTAAGCTGCTAATCCTAATCACCATCCTCTGGTTCTCCCATTAGATCCTCTGCTTGTTTGTTAGGTCCGGTCGTCCACAAACCACATTTTGGAGGCTATGTTCGTCTTTTATATCAGTCAGTAGCTGTCGTTGTTGACTAGGTTTAGTTTACAGTTTCCTGATTTATTATCTGTGACACAAAACTAAGACAACATAATTTAACTACACCTTTTTTTTTTTTAAGATTTTTTTTCACAGTGTTCCATTTAAATTTTGGTTTGTTTCTAGTTTTAAGACACATTCATTCAGTAAACCCTGCTGCTGATCAATCATTCATTCTATAAAGCTACATACATCTATTACATACATCTATAATGTTTCCCTTTTTTTCCCCAGAATTTACACAAACACCCAACGTTTATATTCACAAGTGCTGACCTGACAAACTCAAAAATCCAAATCTGTGCGAGTAGCAGCAGAGATGACCATCGGTGCAGAGTTAATCCCGTCGTTATTGAGTCCAGGACTGAAGAACGGGAAGAGTTTGTCGGTGAAGCAGCAGCCGGTGAAGGAGTAGAGGAGGTCTGCAGCGTCGACGTCGTAGAAGGAGACCAGACCTTCCTCGTAGTCCACGAACACTCCCACCTTCTGCAGCTTTGTCTTTACAGAGAGATGCAGCGGAGAGCCGACGAGCGCGGCGTACTCGTCGGTATTTTTCAACCAAACAGTCCAGTGGCCGTTTTCTGGGCACAGCGGGATTATTCCTTTTCTCTTGATGGAAGCTTTGGCCACTCCCAGCGTCCACCTCGTCTTCCCTTTGACCTCCACCTCGAAGTAAAACCTCCCCGAGGAGAAGCTCTGCTTTCCCAAGACGCAGCAGCTCGGGTTAAATCTCTCGCCGTTGTCGGGGAGGTTCTTCTTCACGACGCTGTGATGCACCTGCTTGCCGTCGTCGGACAGGACGAGGGCGCCGTGGGCGGTGACGGGATCCAGAGTCACGTCCACCATGAACTGCTGGACCCGGTTCAGCTTCGCCTCCCGGAGCAGCCTCGGCATCTCCTTGCCGAACATCTCCTCCAGCTGATCCACGGCCGCCTTCACGGTTTCTTCATATGACGGCACGTCAACGTGGACGTCCGACCAGTCTTTGGTGCACTGAGGGGCGCCCAGGGAGGAGAAGCTCTGCAGGAAGTGGAGGTGGTCTTTGGAGCGGGAGAGCTGCTCCACCTCAGCTCGCCTCCTCATCAGCTCCGAGATGTCCTCCTCCAGCTCCTGGATGAATCTTCTGGCTTCATTCTCTGTTGCTTTCTGCTTCTTGTCGATGGTCCCGATGAGCTCCGCCTGGGCTGTCTCCAAAGCCTGAATGAGGGCGGTGAAGATCTGAGCGCTGTCCGCCATCTCTCGCTCTGCTGTTTCTTTGCTGAGCTTCGCCAGATGTTTGAGCTCCTGGATCTTCTGCCGTCTCTCCTGGATCATTCTGTGGATTTCGCTTTCCTTCCTGCCGAGCTCCGACTTCTTCCTCTCGAACTGCTCTTTCAGCGGGATGACTTCGTGCAACTTGTGGTCCAGAACCGGACACAGCATGCAAACGCAGGTCTGGTCCGTCTTGCAGAAGAGCTCCAGAGGTTTGTCGTGTATCTTGCACATCCGTCCCTCCAGGTTCTCCACCGGATCGGTCAGCTGATGTCTCTTCAGGCGCGACGCCGTCAGGTGAGGCTTCAGGTGAGTCTCGCAGTAGGAGGCCAGACACACCAGGCAGGACCTCAGAGCTTTCATCTTCGTTTCGGTGCAGATGTCACAGGGAACCTCCCCCGGTTTGGCTACTTGCTGGTTGGGGCTTCGCCATCCGGCCGACTTCCTGAACTGAGCGGCCATCTCAGAGATGAAGGTGTTGACTCGCAGGTCGAGCTTCCGGTAGAACGGCTCCTTACATGTTGGACACTCGCACTGGATGTTGGTCTCCCAGTGCTGCATGATGCAGTTCTTGCAGAAGTTGTGTCCACACGGCAGCGTGACTGGATTAGTGAACACATCCAGACAGATGCCGCACAGAAGCTGCTCTTCAGTCAGCAGACAGCTGGCGGCCGACATTATGACACTCTAAAACAAAAATTAAAGCTTGACATTACAACACTGTCATTAAACAATTTTTATGCGCCTGCTAATGAATTCCAGAGCTGGATTGGTGGTAAATGAGTAGAAATCACAGAGTGGTTTTCCTGCACCTGTTCGGCGAGCGCACCAGATAAAAGCAGGACGCGTCCTAAACACAGTCGATCATCAGCTGTACTCACCGGTGTTGGCGACGAATCCCTCGAAGGCCGTTAATGAACAGAATTAAACCTCTCGTTAAACTTCTCTCTCGTCTGAGGCTTCGGCTTTTGTCTCTGCTGATCTTCGGTGCTTTATCTCTCACATGAGGTATTTGTCCTGAACCGTGGCCACGCCTCTTGATGAACCAGTTTGGTTTGTTGCTGTCAGGAAGCTCATCACATGTTCTGTTTTCATTCCTCTTCTTGTCTGGCTTGAGTCCAAACTCAGTCCAACATGCTCGGCTGTGCAGCTGCTGTGTGTTTTTCCTGTTTTTTTTTTATTTTATCTGTTTGTTCCAAAATCAGACTCTGAAGAAAAGCCCTCGTTTGTTTTTGTTTAGTCGCTGGTCAAAGCTGCAGCGTTTTGCTTTTCAACACATACTGAGTGATGCCAATTAATTAAACATTCAAAACGTGGGGCGCTGCTATAGGTCACCTGGTTGAGCTGGCGTCCCATGTGCAGGGCTACAGTCCCAATATGGAGGTCATGAGTTCATGAGCCTTTCCCACATGTCCTCCCCCCATTCTTCTCCCCTACTTTCCTGTCTCTCTGACTAAAACTATCCAATAAAGGCCAAAAAAATAACTTTAAAAAACATTTAAAACATAAAGTAAGTGATTGGATAAGTTCTCACCTCCTTCCAGTCAGTATTTAATAGATGCACCTTTGGCTGCAGTTCCAGCATTGATCCTGTTGGTCTCCATCAGCCTGAACATCTGGATGCTGCAGTTTTACTTCAATCAGACTCTGTCAGGTTCCACAGGGATCATGAGTGAACAGAACTTCTTAGGTCCAGACACTAATTCTCTGTTGGACTGAGGTCTGGACTCTGACTGGGCCTCCAGAACTTCACCTTGTTGTCTTCAAACCATCCAGGTGGAGCTTTGGCTGTTTGCTTCGGCTCATTGTCTGGATGGAAACCAAGTCTTCTCCACGTCTCAGTTCTCCTGCAGACTGCATCAGGTTGTCCTCCAGGATTTCTCTACACTCTGCTGCATTCATTCACCCTCTACCTTCACAAGCCTTCCAGGCTGCTGCTGAGAAGATCCAAACATCATGATGCTGCCACCACCATCCTATCCTCTAATACTACATTTCAGACAGCGTCCTACTGGAGCTTTATCACAAGGTTGGATCAGATTGGAGCAAAAAAGAAGAAAAAAAAGTTTATTGTTATTATTATTACTATTATTATTATTGATATTAACGTGACCAATTTAGACCGAAAGTTAAAACCCCACATAAATAC